GGATTTCCATCCGGGAGACTAGGTTCTCTTGTACAACTCCTGGTTGAAGTTATTCCCTGGGAAGTTAAGGTCGAAATGGTCGGGCCCTTATGTGGTAACTCAAGTATTCACATACGGGTGGTTGAGATCTCCCACCTGGAGGAAGGAACGTTCAAAGTGAATGGACACCTCCTGAAGCGTTACCTTGGAGGAGAGGTAATGCCACACAAGGAGGTGGTGTTCCTGCAAGTTGCATGACCGGAGTCTCCGTCTAGCTTAAGACGTTAAAAAAGCGCTTATTGGGAGGCAACCCAACGAAGGTTAGCAAGTTTGAACTACTACTACTACTACTATGTATTGTGCTTGTAATAACCTCGCCTCGAGCGAGTCGTATTGCATTTGTGTGTGTGTTTTGTTGTCTCTCCTTGAAGCTCAAATTATCCTACCCCGGTTCGGTTCCTACATTCACTCACCAAGCCCAAGCGGTAACATCACTCTACCCCTTTTTTACGCCATTGTGGGCAATTCCGAGTTTAAGTGTGTGTGTGGGGGGGGGGGGGTAGTCTACTAGTATGCTTGTGTGAGTGAGATGTTGCTTGGAGGCTTTTTTATGCCCAAATTTTATAAATTTGAGGGCTCCAAGCAACGTTTGCATGTTCAAAGTGGTCGAATGGTGGGAAATTCTCGTGTTTGTGGCATTGATCTTGAATTATTGCATGTGATCGAGTATATCCTATGATGATGACTGATAAGTTCATTAGGATAGGGCAAAAGTTTAGTTCTCAAGTGTGCATAAATGAATGGATGTCTTGACTTGATCACTTGTTGTTTACAATTGCCATGCATTGTGTTTGTGAATTGGAATAAATGGTTGGGTAACTAGGTAGTCTGTGAGCTTTGAGATGTTCGTTTCTTTCGATGTGATAGTTCCCTCTTACCATGGTGTGTAGCATCACAGTTGTCACTAGAAAGTATGATGCAGGCATAGGATGAGTCCACACCCAAAAGTTGGATTGTCCCAAAATGCATCATCCCTTAGTCAACCCCTTCGAGCCTTGTGACTCTGTGGGTCGTTCTCAATTTAGGAGCTTCGTTTGTTTGAGCTTAAAGGTGTTAGTAGAACGACCCCCAAATCCTTTCTTCGTGTCCAAACATGAGTCGCCCGTGTGTCCGGAGCTCTTACCATTGAGTTTCCATAGAGGTTCTACATAGAAGGTTTGTGTGTGGTCTTTGCTAGGGATGAGAAAAATGAAGTGTAGTGTTGGAGTGAGTTCCTCAAAAAGAGAGCATTGGTCGTTAAAAGTATAGGTGGCAAGTGTTGTTACTATCTAGTACCCCCCCCCCCTCTCGAAAAGTAAAGAAAAAAAGAAAAGAGAAACGAAAAAGAGGTAATAAAATGGAGTAAATAAAGTAGAGAGTGCCACGAAAAACCAAAGTACATGCTCTAGGAGGGGTTTCTTGGCACCCAAGCCATCGAAACCCCCACATTGTTTAGAACTCCTTCACTACCAAACCTTAAAGAACTAGCCAGAGTTGATCAAGGAAGAGTGCTTCAAGGTAGTTCATGATGGGTGATAGTTGGAAGGGAGAGATAAGGGTTTTGGCCGATGCTAGTGGCCTTTGATTGAAGAGAAGGGTTTAGTCGAAACCATAGACCCTTCAGGTTTTGGTTGAAGATGTAGAAACTCACGTCATGATTGCCACCACCCAAAAAGCCTTTTCTCCATGTCCAAGCCGATCGCCAGTCATCTAAACTCGTGTCTAAGACCTCCGGACGGGCTAATGGTGACAATCATCCCGTGAACTCTAGCATTTAGAGGTTACCGCCGTGGTATTGAGATGATAGGGCCGAGAGGTTACGATTGTGCACATATTTTGCACCAAAAGGTCCCAACCTCAATGGTCTTGAGAGTGAGTGATCCATTCTTGTTTAACTTACCATTTCATACCCCGGTGAGGACCTTCGTTGCCTTTCCATTTGTTCTTCGTACTTGAATTCCATGCGTGGTTGGTTGTGGTCGATAAGTGTTTGTTTTGAGGCTCGCATTTATCCATGAATAAGTTGAGAACTTTTCATTTGCCCGTTTTGGTGGCTTTGAATGTCGTTTGTGGTGGATGTCGGTATTGCTTGCAACGGTTCATGTGTTGATTGTCAATAAACATCGAGACTTCCCGCTTCGTGTCCTTTGAGTTGTCCCCAAAGCATTTGTGTAGGTTGAAATATTACCGTGTGCGTGGAATGGTTTGCTTGGGGACAACCATCCCCTATACTGCACTCGGTTAGAGTTTAAAAACTTGGGCTCTAATGGGGGTTTAATTGTGGTGTAGTTTCGTGCGAATCAGATGTTCATACTCCAACTCTAGGCATGGGAGCATCTTCTGATGTTCGCACCTCGAGACCCGCGAGAATTCTGGTTGCCAAATGAGGAGCTACGAGATCTAGCAAATCCCCCTATGGTGTCAAGTAAGTTTAATTTACATGCTAATTTTATTCCAAGTATGCAATTTTAGTATTTTAGTGAATTTAGAACATTCCAAGTGGAGCGAATTTAGTGAATTTAGATTATTGCCAAGTATGCAATTTAGCGAATTTAGATTCATCCCAAGTATGCAATTTTAGTGAATATAGATGCTTCGACCACCAGATTGAGCACTCTTTACTGTTTTATTGTGCTGAGTTGATAAGCCTTGGTGGAACCAGGTAAAAATGTCAAATTTCATCATTTAAATTTTTTTAAATGGTGTGGATATAATTTGTACTAATTCCAAATCATTAATGAGTGTAGGTGACATGAGATCCATATCCACCTGAAGTGGTCGGGATGCAACGTCTTAGACACCCCGAGGATGAAGAGACATGGTTGTGCAAGGTGCCCTTGATCTGTTGGCACATGCTGAAGTGGCACCTGCCGGATCGAGCCTTGAGGAAATATCGTTTGGAGAAACCAATTCCAGCATCCACGCCTCAAGATTTCAGGGAGCTCCATGCCATCGACCTACGCTACAAATCAAAGGATTGGATTCGCAAACATGAGTTCTACATCAACATTTGGGAGAACAGAGCGACTTGGGTTGTTCGAGGGTTACCGGAGAAGAGGCCAATGGGGTACCACGATGGGTACATGGTGTGGTATCGAAAATTTACACTTAGATGGGTGTCAAAGCAAGGTGGTGTGTGGGGAGCGGTGGTAAGTGATACCAATTCTTACTCTTCGTCTTATTCTTATTCTTTTGTCTCTAGATTACATGCTTAGATTTGATTAATGGCAATTAACTTGATTAGATTCATTTTATTTCATTTTATTTCGTTTTACAACTTATTCGTATTAGGTTGATGGATTGGAACATGCCAAGCACATGTCGATAGTGCACCCACCATGGACGAGCGGAAGACATCTTTCCTGCGGAGGCTTTTCAACAACCTGCTCAGCTGTACTCGAGAGCAAAGGAGGGATTTCATCGTATACCCTCCAGTGCCTGCTCCGGCTCGACCTTTCTTCCGTGATGATGAGCCCATTGTGCCCCCAGCTCAGGCCCCACGGAGGAGTAAGAAAATGGTCCAGCCAAACATTGAAAAGCTTCGCGAACTTCCTCCTCCTTATAGTTGCTTGCACCTCCACCGTAGCACAACCCTCCTGCAGAACTACCTCCTTCGTAGTTGCTTGAACTACCACCCCAACCGTACCCTCCTGCAAAACTATCATCACAAGAATACTGGTGAGAATGAGTTTCACCGACCGACTCGGTCTCGACATACACCTATGCAAACCACACCCCGTTGTCAGATAGGAACTGTATCATCATGTTCACCGTGTCATCATCATTTATGACAACTTCTTCGTACATAACTCCGCTAGCACTCATGTTTGGATATCGATAAGTAATTTGATCAACTATCGTCTGTCCGCCCATACAAATCATTTATGCACAAATGTTACGGAGTTCTTCCCACATGAATCTCGACTCAATTTTTAGCATAGTGGATTCGCCATCTTCATAATCGATCCCAATGTCCGAGTTTGTTTACCCAACCCCCCCCCCCCCCTCCCCACCAAATAATCCAAAACTTCTTTAATTTACTCATGTATGCAATTTATAATAAGTAACTATTAGCTTAACTCGAATAAGATTAGTATAGTATAATTAGTACTTAGGGCTACGAAAATAATATAATCCAAACCCATAAACAAATGCAACTAACTAATCTAACATGAGTATAATAAACAAATTCATCTAAATTCATAACTAACTAACATCAATCATACCATAATTAATCTAAATATCTCTAACATAACATATTTGCCACTAACCACAATTCACTAAATAGAGACATATAATTATTAAAACATCATAATGTAAACAATACATAATTATAACATACCGAATCCCGGTGAGTTTCTTTATTCGCAATTGTTGTAAGCCAACTCAGAAAATGAATTTTGCACTACTTTGGTTTGAATTGTTGTAAGCCAGCTGCAGGTACGTGAGGGATGGGTTTTTATAAGCAAACCATATGGGTTGTTCACCACAGTCGACAGATGCGGTGAACATATCACCGATGTCGACGAGAACGGTGAATGCTAGGTCATTGTGACCTAATTTTCAACATCAGGGTTGGAAACATGGTAAAAGATCACCGTTTTGGACAACAGTGGTGATCTATTCACCGTTTTTCACTATCGCGGTGATGTATTCCCCATTATAGACCAATGCGGTGACTAGTTCACCGTGTTTGACTGCAACAATGACATTTTCATCACTGTCTTGGTTCTTGGCGGTGATTATCAAACTGCTGTATTTTGGGAAATATTTTTATAACTACTGTATTTTGGAAATATTTTTAATAACTAGTGTATTCTGGGATTTTTTCCTAGGTATTAGGTCAGACTCACATGGAAGTATATATCATCTTTTAATGACTTTAGATTTGAGTTGGATTTGAATTGAGACCTATTTGGATCAATTCATTTGGATTAGACTCAATGTGTCTAATTGGGTTTAGAAGATTGTATACACAAAACACAATAACAATCGTTTCATTAACTACTTTCAGCCTAATTATACTTAGTTCGCTCGGGCTATTGGGAGTGGCGAATGAAACAATCTACCCAACAAGTTGAACATTATGTACCATTCAATTGGAATAGACTGTGGTATCTGCAACTCCCACCTAAGGTTCGAGTCTGTCTTGAAATGGGGATCTAATCCTACACATAGGATCTAAACTGGAACGACGAATCAAAGATGCGAGCAATGAATGCCCTTTTTGTGGTTTCTGATAGAACCTGAGATTAGGGTGATATCGGGAATTGGGGATTTAGGAATTGAGAACATAATTAGGGATTTGAGAAGAGATGAATAGAGAATCGGCCTAGGCCTTTAGATAGATAGATAGACGATATTGAGAGAGAAAGAGATTAGGGTTTAGGGAGGTAGTTCTTTGATTAATCTTTGTTTGATCGTAAATGAACGGCCGAATACATATTTATAGGAAATACCGGAATAAACCTGATAATAACCCTAAACTTAACCCCCAAGTTACTAATATTCTTAATAATTATCCTACCATAAATAATAAGAGAATCCCACATAAGGTGGGTTTCTAACAATCCATCCCCCTTAAAAACGACCTTGTCCTCAAGGTCGCATTCAACCTCCACTGTCTTGACCATCCATTTTCTTCGCTTCCAATTGCGCTCCCGCTCACGAACGACCCCAACTCCAACAGCCCCAACACCTCCAGATCCTTTGCCAACCCCATGACACATACCACTACCGTGTTCTTGGTCAAGTGAAATTTCGTCCTCCCTTTCAAACTCCACGAGATATGGCTCCGGGAACTGCCCTTCTCTAACGATCGAAGCCTTTACTACCTTGTTGCTCTTGCGCCCCAGTCTGAAGCTCGACTCCCGTATCAAGTCATCCCCCACTCCTCGCATAAAACTGCTTCCCTCTCTCACGCTAATACAATCAGATGGCGCTCCTCCAATATCGTCCTCCAATATTTTCCCAATTATTCCACACACTCCAATATTTTCCCCCAATTCCTCCCCTGCAAACTTTCTCCAGTAGAAAAACTCCCCATAAACATAACCACCCAACAACTCTTCTTTTACCCCATATGCCTTCCATTTCATAATTACAATAACAATAATCCCACCATCATCCAGTGGCCTTCTCCCTGCATCCCTCGGCTGCCATTTCCATTCCCAATGAAGAAAGTGAGACCAACCTGCTTCATTGGCATAGCTCATCCGTAGTACCCCTCCTGGCCGTTTTACACAGCCAACAAAAGTGACGAGTACACCCAGCTGCTCCTTCCTTTTCTTCCAATTGAATACCCTAGAAAATGTCCTTGTGCCCAATGAGTAACTCTACTGGTCGCTGCCCCAAAGCTGGAGCTGAGATAGGAAGCAACCAGCATGTCGACCCCGCAGCATTCGGGTCCCTTCCTCGCCTACTCTTTCCAAAGCTGCGACGCGAAGTTCTTCCCAACCATTACATGAATCCGACCACCTGAATGTCTTGAGCAGCAGCTTGCTCTTGCCACTTTTCCTTGCACACATCCCCTAAATTCTCCGATGAGAATGCCGCTGCTGCATCTGGAGAGCTCCACGACGAGACTCATGCCTGTAAGGATAGTGCAGACTGGTAGCTGCTGGTTTTCTCTTCCATGAAACTTGCTCTTAAGAATTAGCTCTGACCTTCTCGCTCTCGAGCCCGTACCGTTATGTGCACCAACAGTACTCGACGAAGACAATTATAGTCGTACCACTCCGAATAACTCATTCTCACATTCACACCCTGCTAGGCTTCCATAAGGCTTATTGTAATTCATTAAACCCCTCTTTTTGTAAGAACCCCTCTTTTTTCCTTCCATGTGAGTCAAGGCAATACGTGGAAAGGAACTTCCAAATTCATCAATTGAGAGTACCTTGGAACTTGAAGCGACGACGGTCGTCTCGGTGGAAGGGCTAGTGTTGCCTAGCAGCTGCAATTTCTTGATTCCTCCCACCACCGGCGATGACGTTGACTTGAGCAGGGCGGGTAGAAGGTCGTTTGCTTGGGCGCGTCGGCGGCTCCGTTTCCCGGCTGATTTGACTCTCGTTCTGTGTGGTCCCGGGAGCCAACCGTGACGATCGACAGTAGGGCGGTTTGAAAGCGCAGTCGAGTTCTATCGGCAGCGGTGGCGCTCTTCTTGACAGCAAGGGTCGCTGATGGGGATGCGGCAGCTGAAGATACAGTGGAATCTTTGCCCAAGAACTGGTTGGGGATGGCATCCCTACCCTCGACAAAGAAGAGTTGTTCCTTCAATTGTGCTGACGTGGGTGATGCAATGGGACTGGGCGCCGCGACTCCTCTTCCTTTTATCGCACCCAGCCATAGCTCGTCTTCCTTCTGCTCGTTGTCGTGTTGGGTCTCATAACTACCCGCCGAATCCGATTTCGTGATTCCGGCTAGAACCACCGCGGAGACCTCCATCTCCTGCTCGGCTGGTGGGGAAACAACTAGTGATGATGGTGATGTCGTGTGAAAGGCAGCCGCAGTTGTATTCTCGGTCTTGGTCAGCTGCAACGCTTTGGTCGCCACCACCGGGACCTCCTCGTCCCACCAGTCATCCTCATCGTCATTCCCGTCGAACGATGCCAGCTTCGCCAGCAACCGGTCCATCTCGGCCTTCCACCTCCACGTAGATTCGGAAAAGTCCCTGGGCACGACGGTTGGAGTGGCTGTAAATCTTGCCTCTGTAGCAGTTGGAACTTCAATATCGGCCGCGCCGAGAGGAGTTGATGGTTTGGTGATCGGAACTGTCGCCGCTGCTGTCGACGTCAATAGCGGTTGAACCTCGATGATGGTTATGAAGATGCTTGGGACGTCAGTGGTGGAAGCCAGTTGTGGAGCTGCGTCGATTGAACTGATTTCCATGGTGGTAGGTGCCAACTCCGCGTCAGTATGAGCGTCTTCAACGACGGCTGGAGTTGATGAATCCTTTGTCGTCGACTCTGGATGGCTGCTGGTCGCGCGACGGCGAGTCACACGACGCTCGAGTTTGGCTCGAAGTTCTTCCAGGCATGCTATCATATAGTTGTCGTGAGCTTTCCTGTGAACTTCATCTTTTACTAGACTAGCTTCATATTTTACTAGACTGACTTGGAGAGCTTCAAACGTGTGATATAGTTTTTTATGACAATTCCCTGGTGAGAGTTGTGATGAACTCAAATATGTGACCATGGATCTGATACCAAATGATAGAACCTGAGATTAGGGTTCTATCGGGAATTGGGGATTTAGGAATTGAGAACAGAATTAGAAATTTGAGAAGAGATGAATAGAGAATCGGCCTAGGCCTTTAGAGAGATAGATAGACGATATTGAGAGAGAAAGAGATTAGGGTTTAGGGAGGTAGTTCTTTGATTAATCTTTGCTTGATCGTAAATGAACGACCGAATACATATTTATAGGAAATACTGGAATAAACCTGATAATAACCCTAAACTTAACCCCCAAGTTACTAATATTCTTAATAATTACCCTACCATAACTAATAAGAGAATCCCACATAAGGTGGGTTTCTAACAGTTTCACTGAGACACATGAACACATCACTAGGGATTGTGATTGGGAGGGGGTGGAGGCCGAGTTTTTTAGCAAAAAATTTCCAATTAGGCAAAGACAAGACAGTAAAGGATGGATTTGCGAGCTGCTTGACAAAGCTAGCGATGAGGAGCTCTGTGCTATACTAATATCGTTTCTCTTCAAGGAGAGAAACAATCATCTATTCAACAACTCTAAACTAGAAGAGTGGAAAATTGTGGCTAGAGCACAGGGTTACCTGGAGGAATTTTAGCAGGCACAAGGCAGGGACAGACGCCACAATCTTTGAGAATGACACAAGCGGAACTGGTTAGGGATTGGTTGGGGGTGTTACTGAAATACTACGCGCTTAGACTAAGTAGGAGGGCGCACAGGTCTCTCCTTTTTTCCCACTTTTCATTATCTCTCTACACTTTATCTCTCTACCTTGTTCTCTCAACTTTCACCTTAAACATAAACTGACTTGATCGTCGGAGCTTAATCCGGGGGGCAACCCCGGCTCTTTCACAGGTCTCTTCCCTCCCGACGAGATCAGACGAACGAATCGTGACTCAACCCCACACCAACAAATATTATTGTTCGATCCGGAGCTAGTCGGTACAAACAGATTGGTTCTCCGAGATGGAGAAGGAGGTTTCCACATGGCGACTGTGTATCATACACACGTTTGTTGGCCACCGGAGATTGCTGAAGCCCAAGCCATGCTCTGGGGATTGAAGATCGCGAGAACCCATTCCTTCACCCCTCTCCTTGCAGAGATAGATTGTCAGATCCTGATCCAGAAGCTCGACATCCAGACAACACGAATTTGTGTCTTGGTCCCTGAAATCCTTTAAGTAACACATACATACCAATTATAAAAAAATAATCATCATAAAAATTTGTTTAAGTATCGGATCCGAGAACACTTCCATTGGCCATTGTGACATCGTGGGTTTACCATGCAACTAGGGTTGTTCAAATGGTTACTGACTTACTGTGGTAATAACCAAACCAATTAAGCCTAAATTTCATTAACCATGGAATAAAATGTCTTAACCAAACCGTCCAAATTAACTCGAAAACCAAATTAACCAAACCAAACCAAATCAAAGTTTAATTGGTTTGGTTAATCGAATAATCGGATAACCAAATAACATAGCATTACATGAAAATAATTATTCTGTTAATGAATAAAACATAACTATATGTTATTACTATCATAAACTATCATTATATATAAGCAATAATAATACGACTAACCATCCATGATTATCATCATCATTCGAGTTAATACATCATTCATCATCTCTGCACCTAATATAGTTAGCTTATAACAAACCCTTAACATAAATATGAAATACAATTCGATACCACTCATCAAGAAGTTAAAGCTCTCCTACAAAACACTTAAACTATACATAGTTTGAGGTGGTTGTCATGGTATTGTATGTAATCCTAAAGTCTAGTAATTGTCCAAAATATTTTGGTTTAGTAAATAGGCAGACCCATTTAATTTTTTACCCATAATGCTTTGGTTTGTTGTGCACATGGAAATAAAATAGGAAATCACAAAAGTTTGGTTTGGTTGGTTGCACAGAAGTATAAATAATTTTGTATATTAGTCGTATCATTAATTGGTTAATTAGTTTCATTGGTTAGCAGTGTTGAAACCAAACCACCTTAACCAAATAAGCTAAATTGTTTAACCAAACCAAACCAATTATCCACATTAACCAAACCAAATTAACCGAATGCTAACGGTTAATATGATTACCACGGTAACCAATACGTTTGAACACTCCTGCATACAACCTTCTTGGTCTCTGGGTCGAACTTTGGTGCTCTGCTCTCTCTCAGTCCCTGCATACCTTCATCTCGGATCCTATCCATAATTCAAGGCAAGATGGTGGGACGAAATGGAGAGGGTAAAAAGAGAAAAGTTACAAGAGAAATTAGAACAAAAGGAGCCTAAAAAGAAAGAAGAAGACTAAGGAAAAAAAGGCAATCTTCTATCTTTAAGCCCACTAGTAGGACTTTAATTCTCAACTGTGCAAAATTTATGAAACTTTCTAATATGAATTTTTTTGTTGACATATATTGTTGATTATATTAGAGACAATAGTAACATGTATATCTTGTCTGGACTATAAAAGCAATAATCTCTCCTACCAAGCTTGATCCCACTCTCATACCTCTGTTCCTGAGTTATAGAGTAAAAGGTATTGGACCATTATGTTTTGGTGGGGAGAAGAACAAACAAAAAGGGTGATAGTAACGACAGAACCATTATATGTCTAAATTGAGGAAATAGAATCGTTGATGGAGAATTCATGTGTGTTGTCGGTCACATGCAGACAAGCACAGGGATTACTGTAAAGACGAAGTGAACTGGGAAAGTTGGGGAGGGAAGAAAAAAGAAAAGAGTCTTTCAATTCAACAAAGAATAGTGTTGAGGGTTGTCAATTTGATTTACCTCTTACATCGATGGAGCAAGTGAGCGGAGGGTTAAGAGTTTGATTGCTTCAGACCGTTTTAGTTATGATATATGAAAATAGTTATCGTATTAATACGTTTATAAATTATATTAAATCTCGTTTAACAGGTAACATCATACCAAAACAATAGTTTGTATTTGGATTCAACATATAGTGAAAATTCAAACACACTCATATAACATCAATTGTTAGTGGGTGGTATAAGATCCATTATTGAACCTCTCCCAATAACTCAAGTTATTGGGATCAACTGTTTCGAGTTCTTGGGATCAACTGATTCTTTACAAATCCAAATGATCAACTTAGAATTCCAAAGATAATACTAGACAAAAAAGGAAACCGGAAAAGAGGTGCAATTCACAAATAAAAGATAAAAACGACCTATGACTTCTAACACAGTAACATATGAACATTCCTGCGGATCGACCTTCCTCACCGAATGAATCCAGATCACCCCGCAGTTGACAACCTTGGATAGAATCTTGTAAGGAAACGGAAAAAAGAAAAAGGCTGAGAAGCAATCAAGCAAAGCTTCTGCTTCTTTAATCATGGTACAACTACAACAGGCTCCCCTTCTTTCTATCATTGTTTTTTTCCCCCTCCATATCCTATCTTCTTTGTCCTCTCTCTAGTCACACTGTTTGGGATTGTTCTTCTTCTTCTTCTTCTCTTATCTCCTTACTGAACAGTTAGCAGAGTGATGAAGAAGCATGATGAACTTCCCACTGTCTTCTTCAATGGTTCCCCACCCACACCTTTAATGCAACAGCGTAATAATGTTTTCCCCCCACTTCTCTCCCAACAGTGGGGCTGACATTTACCACAAATTCTGCGAATAACATCTCCCTCTTACAAATTCACAGATACCCTTTTAAAACTGTTGGAAACTGGAACCGGCAGTGTCATAAAAATAATACTGTTTACTGGGCTGAAACTGACCATTTGTTGTTCTGTCTCGTTAATGCTCTGGTCCAGAGGTCTTTCAAGTATTTAGTTGTTTGTGGTGCTTTCAATGCCAGAGGATTTTGGCGTCGGGTTTTCCATTTTCCGAATCAAGAATAGGGAAGCGTTTGCGTAGAGGACAAAGTGTACATTTTAAATAACTGTGCAGGAGTCAAAAATTGATGATCCAAGTGAAAACCCAAACAGACTTAATGTGCACAATACCACATCTGAGAGACCTGACAGCTCCACAAATATGATCGCTTGTTTCCTCTTCTTTTATGGTCAAGAGAATATCTTTGTTTTTATTTTCTTCTTTTATTGCAGGTACAAAATCACAGTTAACTGTTGGATCCAGAATTGTCCCTTCCAAGTTCCAATTGTCTTTCCACTTGGGCGTGAAGTTAAAAACGGTAAAATACACCAACTCCGGGGAAACTTACAGGGCTTATTTTACATAGATAGCTTGAATCTGCATGTGCCTATATATCACCACCAACACAGAATTTCTCACCTTATTGTGTAAAACACTATCATCGCCATCAGAAGAACCCATCTTCAAGAAGTCCTTATTTGTTACGACTTAATAACCGTCTCCTAACTACTGATTTCAAGTAATCGCGGCATATTATGCAAGACTGTGTAACAACAAACTACTGGAAGCTCTCCTTTACGCTTCGCAAGGAAGAATGCCCCCTTCATTTCCTGACAAAGGAAACCCCCTTTTGAATGCTTTCTGCTAATTCTTTCTTTGCCTTCTCCAACCCAGACCTACCAATACAATTACACATCGTGAATTTGCTGAAGTTGGTCGAGTTGTTGTATGATAGAGTACAGAAATTTACTTTACCTTTCGTACTCGTTAAGGGGGCCAAGTGGGTAAATTTCTTCTACTCCAGCACGACCAAGCCGTACTTTTGATGCAAAGAAAGGAAGCTCTGTCACCTGTGAATATAAAGAAGAGAAGATCGAAGTTTCAGTAAATGCCATGACCAACCAATATCATTTGGAACTGTATGTAATAAGAGAGATCCATGCAAACAAGCGTTTGATAGTAGAGCATACTTGAGAGGATACATAGGCGCACTCAACGACACCAGCATCTCCTCTTAAGCCCCTAAGACAAGCATCTGCAAATTTAACAGCAGCATAGGCCTGCAGTTTTCATGGAGGGTAGTGAATCATTGTTCACAAGTTCACGTCTTTGTACCGCGAAAGAATTTCTGCTTCAAAATAAGATGATTTAGATATAGATTGCAGCAACCTACCATGGATAGAGTTGCAGAACCAGTGCCCGCTTTTGCCTGCCAAAGGTTCCAGCGAGTCAATCCAAGGAGATATATAAAATTATAGAAACAGGAGGAATAAAAAAGCGCATTACATTAGTTCGCTTGATTTAAACAACTTGATTCCCTGATTAATCTGATTTCAGCTATGGAACCAAACACTGAATTTATGACACTACAAATTGGCCAACTATGGAAGGTGTACTACGAGGTTTCTTCATGGATGAAGTAAATTGTAATGGAGGAATGTGCTTAGTCCTATCCAACTTCATGTAAAGCATGGAGAATATTATACAGTATTGCCAAAACCCATCAACTTCCATGAACTTCTCATGGAGAACAAACAGTGTCCCCAAGCACTTGAAATGGAAGGGTTCAGATATATACCATCTCAATTACCTCAGAATCATCCCATAATCCATGATCTCCTGAGAGGGTACTAGATAGTGTTTCAGCCAAGACAGTAATAAGAAAAAGAAAGGGAATTCGAAAGAATCAAAGTATTTTCCTTTAAGCAGCTTAAACGACTGTGATTATAGGTTAACCAATGCCCAAAAACTAAGAGAGCATTCTGTAAGGGCTATAAACTGCGAAAACATCACCAAAAAATTGCCTAATAGCTAAATGTTTGTCCAAAAGGTTAACCATGACATTGTCCAAACAACCAACTAACATGAGTACAAAATTTAACAACCAGAAATAGGACATCCATGTTAAAGCGACTCGGTCAGTTTGTCATCTTAGATCCCGCGATAGAACAAATTGAGCCTTGAATGAACTGAAAGCATTTAAATCAACATAAATTCTCACCTCAACAACTTCAGTACCACCATTCTGAATGCGATCAGTCAAGTAATCGATTTCTTTCTGGGTGAAAGAGCATGGAGGTTTAACCTGCAGAGACCAGCATAGTGAGCACTTATGTAAAGTTGAAAAAATAGTACCATCCTCGAAAATTCAGAAAATCTGAATCTGGCTTGAACCTGAGACAGAAGAGGTAAAATGGTAACTCCTGCATGACCCCCAACAACTGGACAATCGACTTCCCTTGGATCAAGACCCAAAACCTCTGCCTGCAACCAACAATTCATAGGAGAGAAAAATATATAGATGAAATACATAATTAGAATAAGAAAACAGCGAAAAATCCATTAGTAAGCAAAAAGTGCATCATGAGAAAAAGTGCAAGCAGTAAGGTCTACCAGTTAATATGATACTGATAGAAACACGTTTTCGTGAATCTATCATAATAATAATAATTATTATTATTATTAGGATATTTACAAATAAGGATAGTAGTCTTTTAGTAGAATTAGGTTTATTATTAGGTTTTTCTATCTTTCCTATAAATATGTAATCTGGATTTCATTATCAATCAAGCAAGAACAATTATTTAGAAAGTATCTCTCCCAAAACCCTAATCCTCTATCTCCTAATTTCTCGTTCTCTAGCCCTATAAGGCTTCGGCCGATTCTACCTTCTATTCTTCTTCTTCCTCTAATTCCCAATCTCAATCCCTATTCCTATCTTCTAATTCTCAATTCTGTTCTTCCCCAAATCTATCCTCAAATCCCTAAGTTCCCAATCACCCTCACAATCGATAGAACCCTAGAAATAGAGTTCTATCAGATACTTTTGTCTAATCAATCAACAGCAATCAGTAATTTCAGCAAAACATTCTGCTATTTTCACCCTCAATATCCAGCATACATTATTACGAGAAGGCTACTAGAGTAAGAGTTAAGAGCACCCTGTCGACTATAGAAATCAAAATCATATTGTGTCATTTCTATAAAGAACTAGATTCCAGCAAAATCATTTTACCTTTTACAGCAACTAGCTTACGTTAGATTATTATCCGGCACGGATGTTAATCTTACTTCTGGAAAGTCTTGAAGGGAAGACAGAAAATAAAAGCAGAAGAGGAACTCAGTTTAACAACAAAGACTTCATACTTGTTTCTTACCACAAAGGTATTAGCTCTGACAACGTCAAGCATTGTGACTCCCAAAACCCGCCTTGGATCATAAGTTCCAGCTTTCTTGAAAACTTCAACTGCAATTGGTACAGTTGAGTTTACAGGATTACTAATTATATTGACGATGGCCTGAGGAGAGCACTTAGCAATTGCTTCACAGAGTGTCTTAACAATTCCAGCATTGATGTTGAACAGATCATCCCTCGTCATTCCTGGTTTTCTAGGGACACCAGCAGGTATGATCACAACATCAACTCCCGTAACAGCATCTTCCAATTGCTGCTGCCCTAAGAACCCGCGTACCTTCGACAGCAAGAAAAAGAAAGAAACACCATCAACATGTTGCACTTCCATTGACAGAATATATCAAGTAGAAGCCACTAGAGATTTAGCAAGACAGTAAACTCAGTAGTTCAATGCAGCTGAATAGTGAATAAAATAAGTATCCTTCCATTCAAAACAAATCAAACAAAACTTTTGGTCAAATATTGACAAAGATTGAATTTGGGTGATATTCCCTTCATTCAAGGACTCCATCTCAGATTAGAGTGTGCAGAGGAGAAGCAGTCGTCAACGGATTGAGGGCGCCACTCTACTAAACCGTTACCAGCACATTTCTGTCTTGACAAATTAAACTAAAAAAATATGTTCCAGTAACTAGCTAGCGAATTATGGAGTTTCGTTTGCAGTCTGCAGGCAATCCCTATCCAAATTTCAACGAAGCAAAACAATAAAACAAACTATGGAAGTCGCAATTGAACCAATCGATTTCACAAAACAAAAGGCTTCCCTCGTAGTTGTCTTACCACAGCACCAGTATCCATGTGACTAATATCAGCAGTGACGCCAGGAGTATTGACTACATCATACAAATGAAGAACAGAGACCAGTGGGTTCATCTTCATCAACATCGCCAGCGGCTGCCCAATCCCACCTGCGGCTCCCAGTATCGCCACCTTAAACCCGGAAGACCCGCCTTTCGCCCTGCAATTCCACCGGGCAGGGCCCGAACTCTCCTCCATCTGCGCGTGTTCGAAACAAACATGATACGAAAATAGAACTCATCATTCGAGACGGGAAACCCAGATAGAAAGTACAATTATTTTTCTCCTTTTAAGGAAAATGGGAATCAGACCTTGGTATTGGGAGGGGCAAGGTGGGCAGCGATCCTCGCAATGCGCTGATTAGGCTCTGAAGAACACGAAGCCGGCTGCATCTTTCACCGACGGAGATTTAAAAAAATTAAGAGCTCTGATGAAGATGATGAACGAGGTAGCGATCCTTGTGAATTAGCGAAGGCAAATATAGGTAGCTATGGACAGAAGTTGGGATGCGTGCAAACTGGGAAACCTATCTTATCTGATCTCCGCTGCTGCTTCAGAAATGCTACAATTTTTTATATTCAAGCAAATTGCATCACCTCGAGACTTCCCTCCACGTTGGTTGCTGACGATTTGAGATGATGATGATGAGTAATTAATTCGGAAATTTTGCTGGAGATTGGGATTTTAGAGGGGAACTAGAAGAAAGACGTGTGATTGTTTTCGGGGAAGGAAGGAGAAGGGAGTGGAAAGCTGAGAAAGGGACGATTGGGCTAGGCAGCCAAAAGTGTTATGGGCCAGAAACGCGAGTGGGCTGAAATCTTTAATTTTACAATTTGTGAAACAATTTTGTTGGGCTCAGAACCAAGAAGGCCCAGATCACATGCCCCAAGAGATTGGGCCGGCAGACCCATCAATGGGCTGGCTCATTCCTCCCGTGTCCCAACTAGGGTTTCAGTTCGGGTCGGGTTCGGTTACCCAAGCCGAAACCCGAAAAAACCCGAAAGCTGAAACCGAAAAATCACTAAAACCGAACCCGGACCCGATAAGGACTTGCGGGTTTCGGTTACCCGAAACTCGAAAATTCCTTAACGGATTCGGGTTCGGTTTTAGTGATTTTTCCCCGAAACTCGAAAATTCCTTAACGGATTCGGGTTCGGTTAAAGCAAAACCGAAACCCGAAAACCCAAACGCCTGAAAATACGGGCTGAGTTCTATTCATTTGAGGTTTTTAGCCGGAACCCGAAAAATCGATAAGCAAAATCAAACCCGAAACCGAAAAACCGAGAACCCGAAACGTACCCGAACCCGAAAAACCGAAAATGTATATAATCGGGTCGGTTTCGGGTAAACTCGAAAAACCGAACCCGAATTGACACCCCTAGTTCCGACCCAAGGAGAAGGTGATAGTTAGTACCCTTGCCGCCTCAGACAGCGACCACGAGATAGATGGGTAAAGTCAAATCTAGGTGTAGATGCCGAAGATAGGGAATGACTTCATGCACTGTCAGAGGGGAGCGAATATGGTGACAACACCATATTTGTTGTTATTGTAACAACAACATAGGTGGACCAATAGAAACCCACCATTGTGCATACTTTTCAATTTCATGCGTTGACTAGGGTAAAAAAACAAAGGAATGGTATTTTTGTCCTACCGAAAAATTGCAGCTTCTTTTGTCCGAAAAACTGCAACTCGTTTCTCTCTCCCCGCTTCATTCTCTCTTCAAACGCGTGGCGCCAAGGCTGAACGAAAACACCACCGCAACGGCGGCGACGAGATCCTGATCGCAGCAGCTACCGCAACGGCGGCGACGAGATCCTGATCGCAGCAGCTACCGCAACAGCGGCAATGGCGGAGCGAGCTCCTGATCGCAGCTAACGTAACAGCGGCGACAGCGGATAAAATCAGGCCGCAGCAGCTCATAACACCACGACGACACAACGATTTACTCCAACTCGCATTATTCAAAGAGAAAACAACAATTACGACAAGTCATTGACGATGGACGAGAATCATGTAGATGAAGTTTCTGTTGGTTCTGTAGATGCTCAACAACTCCTGCAAATTGCAACATCTTCTGACAATGCAACAAAAAGCGTATATCAGCTGGAAACCTCTATTTCCACCAACAGTGCCAACAATGAACAAGAAGAAGGTACACTCAAATCAATCCTTCCTGTTTTCTTACAATGAGCACTACAATCACGCTTATACAAGCCATTTACCATATCATAAGCCGTACCAACCAAACCGCCCACAAAAATCCCACAAACGATACCAAAAGCATCGCCAAATACACCACATTCTTCCCAAAACAATCCACAGGAAAAAAAGACAATCAACCAAAGCACTTAAAAATCAAACCACAAAACTTCTTAAACGCACCAAAACACCTCCAATGCACACCATTAAAACCTAAATCGTTACATTTCGCAATCTGTTTGTAAAAAAAATTATACACTGTAATCCAAACCATAAATGTTATAAAAGCATCATGAATAACTACACTGCAAACCACTTTTCACTTTTCTAGTAAATATCATCGCAAAATGAAATGATCAAGTGCTCATTTCTTTCATCATTGCTTACAAGTGTGAAATCAAACAGATCCAAGTCAGACTACACTAGTTTGGGGTTGGCATTCAAAACCATTGAGGAAATAAAACAATTCTACAAGAACTATGCTCACGATCTTGTCTTCGGCGTGAGGGACATGGGAGCTGTCAAACGTTTTACAAAACGCCAGCCAACCAAAACAACACGATATGCTACGTATTGCTGCAACAAAGAAGGATACAAGACGACAAGCAAGTCAAATCCCAAGAATAAAGGATCAATCGATGTCAAGGCTTATCAACGTGCTGTACCAGAAACTAGAGTTGGCTGCCTAGCTATAATCAAATTCAGATTTGATATCAAGAAGGATGAATGGTTGCTGGACAAGTGGATAACATAACACAACCATGATCTCCTCCCTCCAAAATTCAAACACCTGTTGAGATCAAACAAGGGGATCTCAGAAATGCATGCAATGGTCGCACAAGTGCATGCAGATTGTGGAGTTTCACTACGAAAATCATATGAGTTGTTCGCCACAACTTCCGGGGGAGGGTGAATGTACCTTTTACCCCTCATGATCTGAAGAACTATATCACAGGGACAAGGCATAAATCAATGAAACCAGGCGAAGCAACTATACTTCTTGAACATTTTCGCCAGGAAGCTTACAAGAATCCATCATTCTTCTATGAAATTGAGGTAGATAGTAACGAAGATATTTCAAGTATATTCTAGGATGATGCAAGAATGCAGTTCGACTACAGTTGCTTTGGATATACGATGAGTTTCGACACCACATACAAGACAAACCAGAATTATCGTCCACTAGGTCCGTATTCCTTGCACTAGTTAATTTTCTTGAGATTTCGAAGTTGAATGCATACCAAACATTACGCAATGCATACCATAAGTAACATAAAACTACCCCAAAAACTCTTAAAACAAACGACAAAAAAAACATGAAACACTCTTTTTCAGAATACTAACCAGAAACCTCCTAAACCACACTAAACACGTCATGAAACACGCCATGTATATCATAAAAGACAGTCTGTATTTGTTTCAAGGGTAATGTCTATTTTTTATCCAAACCTTTTTCAGATTCTTTTATATTGTCCAAACTTATCGAAATACTAAGAATTAGCCAAATGATAACTTTCAGTTAGCAATTTTGTTAGTAATATTGACTTGGCAACATGATACTGACTTGGAAGAGGCACATGTAAGTCAACAATGCAAAATTTTAGTATTTTAACTAAGAAAAGAGTCACAAAATTATTAAAGATTACGTAAAAATGGATAATATTTTGATGCATTATGAAAGATTTGGCTAATTCATAGAATTTTAATATATTTGGATAATATAAAAGAATCTGGAAAAAGTTTGGAAAAAAAACATTGACATTACCCTTGTTTCAATACTTAATTCTATGTTGTTCTTTTTTCGAAGTTGAATGCATACCAAACATTACGCAATGCATAGCATAAGTAACATAAAACCACACCAAAAACTCTTAAAACAAATGACAGAAAAAAAAACATGAAACATTCTTTTTAAGAATCCTAACCAGAAACCTCCTAAAGCACACTAAACACGTCCTGAAACACACCACCATATATATCATAAAAGACAATCTGTGTTTGATTCAATATTTAATTCTATGTTGTTCTTTTTTTTATTTTTAAATTACAGCTTTGTTTGTTGGCTGCAACCACCATCGCGCACTGTGCATCTTCTGGACTGCTCTCCTATATGATGAAACAACCGCTACATTCAAGTGGTTGTTTGATGCATTCTTGAAATGTATGTCAGGCACCTGACCAACATAAATATTCACCGACCAAGCTGCTGCAATCGCCACTGGAATTAGATCCGTCATTCCCGAAGCATTCCATGGCTTGTGTACTTTTCATATCAAGAAGAATGGAATGAAGCATCTCGACACCACAAACACAAACATTCTAGAAGATCTAAAATATGTCACTTTTGGAGTAGAAAACGACGAAGAATTTGAGTACAATTGGTTAAGGTTGCTAGACACATATTATCCAGAAGAAGGCACCAATCCAAGAAATTGGTTGGATTCAATTTACAAGGTGAGGAAACAGTTGTCTTCAGCATGGGTTAAGGACCACTTCACAGCTGGTATGCGAAGCTCACAGCTGAGTGAGTCTTGTAACATCAACCTCCGAAACTACCTTCAACCAGATGACAACCTAGTTGAGTTCTTCACATACTTCCACAAGTTGCTCGAACGGAAAAGATTAGACGAAATGTATATGGATTATCAAATGGCAACCTAGTTGAGTTCTTCACATACTTCAACAAGCCTTGTAACAGCAACCTCCCAAACTACCTTCAACCAGATGACAACCTAGTTGAGTTCTTCACATACTTAAACAAGTTTTATACTGTAGAATGCATCCACAAGTCTCATTGTTCAAACAAAAAACAATAGCAAACACCCCACAATTGATATAAAACCCTACCAGAATAGTTGAATACAAACTAGACACCACCTAAACCAACCCAGATACCCTACAATCCACACCACAGACTACCTAATACAACCCATAAACACCACAATGCACACCGCACGAGCTTAAACAACCCATGAACTCCACAATCCACACCACACACGACTTAAAATAACCCATAAATCCCACAATCCGCACCACAAACAGTACAGTACATACCATAAAATCATTAATGTAGACAAGATGCTTATGAATAATTGTATGTTGTATGTCATCTTCCAACATGTATGAAAGAAGCCCACTTGTTCAGCAAGTCGCAAAATTATACACAACTAAGATCTACAGTTCTTTCCTTGAGGAGTATTCAGAAAGCCTTGCTTTTTTTGTGTTCGGAATGAATCTATGGACAGAAATGGAATGACCGCTTATGAAATGAAGAAACTGGGAGGATTCGGCAAAAGAGTCATGTTAGTGAACAAAGAGGAGAAGAAATACAAGTGCTCATGTCATTTGTTTGAAATTTCAGGCTGGTTGTGCAGACATATAACAGGCAGATAGAGATGGTTGTATTTAATGGTGATGATATTGAGCAATTAACTATCCCTAAGGAATACATACTGCCACGATGGATGAGAGATGCCAAATCTGGAGAGAAGTTCACAATAAACACAACAGAATGTGCTGCAACAGATACTTATGCAGGGAGGTATCAAGAACTGTGTGCTAGCATGGTTATCCTAGCAACAAAAGTCTCAATGCATGACAAGGTCTTCTCAATGGTTAAGGAAAAGATTGCAGAGCTCACTAAACTAGCTTTCCAAGACCTTCAGACTCAAGGAACTCAACAAACAGTACCTAGTAATTTCACACATCTTGTTAGCATCCCTACTTATGTTCACAAGTAATTGCTTAATCCAAGCCACTAATGATCTAATCCAAACCAATAACATCTTAATCCAATCCACTAATTGCTTAATCCCTACTTATATTCACTAGTATCTTGCATGTTGCTTTTTCAACAGTTGGAACCACCAGTACATCACCCTCACTAAGAGCTGCTGCTTCAGCTACGAATGACAAGTATGCCAATGTGAAGGGATTCAAGGCTCGACAAGACCCATGAAATCAAAGAAGAGGCCAAGAGGTGGACTTGAGATAGCGCTGGAAATAGTGATGGAAATGGGTCGGGGCGGGTACCTCAATTCCCATGCCGTGCCCCATGCTACTACGGGTCGGGTAAAACCCGCGCGGGTACGGGGCGGGGCGGGTCGACCCACACTTACATGTTGTTCAAAAAAAAAAAATACAAGTAAATTTTACTTTTTACAATAAAACGTAGGGAAAAACACTTAAAGAATGAAAAATAGATAATAGAATGGATAATTGAGCCTAACAAGTTGAAAGATCGACTCTAACTAGTTGAAGAAAAGTCAAAATAGGAGAAATATGTATAGATATTGTAAGAAATTGAGATAAAATGAGTCTAGAACGGGGCGGGGCAGGGCGGGTTGGAAGTAGATACCCATGCCCCGCCCCACGCTACTGCGGGTCGGGTAATACCCGCCCCATCGCGGGTCAGGTAGGGTAATACTCGCGGGGCGGGTTGAAATTGCCATCACTAGCTGGAGAGGGCTGGAAAGCAAAGAATTGATGAACAGGCTGCCAACAAGCGTTACAAAAGCAACAATGAGTGATTAGCCTCCTAGTTGTTATACATGCTTTTTTATCTTTCATAAACTTTTAGATTTGAATGACAACTCTGAGACAAATATGAACATTTCCAGGTTTTGATAATATTTGAACAAACAATAACACCGATGCAACAAAACAAACTACATATGTACTAACACACACCATACATTGTATAACCATGGGGAAAAGAAACAAACTATAAACCTTATGAACCATACTACAATACCCGTTAAATAATCCACTTGTCTTATAATACACACCATACACGAAGAAAACAAACTACGAAACCTCTTAACAAAACCAAACCACAAACATATGGAAACTTTCCAGAACACTCATTAAGAAAACCACATATGTACTAACACAAACCATACATTGTATAACCCCGGGGAAAAGAAGCAAACTATAAACCTTATGAACCACACTACAATACCAGTTAAACATCCACTTGTCTTATAATACACACCATACACGAAGAAGACCACAATTCTTCTTAATCAACCCACAACACTTCAGATACAGAACACAAAAGCCTTAATCAACACCATAAACACACTAAAACACATATTAACACAGTGAAATCTGAAACTGTTCTTTCAAATGCATCCTAAAATTTGCTAGTCCACCTTGCGATCAAACTCAAACTCTTCTTCTTCACCTGTTCAAGTAAACTGTTCTCCTCGTTCAGCATCAATGTTGATGTGATCTCATCCCGCCTCTGCTTGACTTGTTTTTGCTACTTCCTCATGGATGGCACCAGTTTGCCTTCCCAAAACTCAGCAAAATTCATAATAAAAACACCACAGTCAACCCCACCATGTTTTCTCAACCCTCGCATTCTAACCCACTTAAATTCTTCAATTTTGCAGGGCTCTCATCTACAGGCAGGGATGTATTCTGTGGCATAGCGGACCACCATATCCGCAACAGCACGAAACTTGGAATCAAGTTCGTCAGGATAAAGGCTGTCAAGATAATCATACCGTTTGTTCTTGAGATTCACTACATACATCCTGTAGTGTCCATCAGAATAGTGGGGGAACATCCACTGCATAGTAGAGAACAAAAACAAGTCTGTACTTCAAAAGAACAATGAAGAAAAAAACACATGAAACAATGTAGCAAATGCGACTAAGAAAATACATACAAAATCACATTGTGAGAAGTCCAAACCATCTGGTATCCACTTGCAACTTGTCATGTGATGACTCGGTATTTGCACATGTTTTCCCCTTTGTTTCTTGATTGTTTGAGCTTGAATTATTGCGTCTTTGGCCTATTTTATGCTAGGTTGTGTTCCTTTGTCCCATTTCAGGTCCTAGCACATAAAGTGAAGCATAGGCGCAAGTTTCAAGTCAATCAGAGATCAATTGACGATTCGAGAGAAGAAACTCGGGCATGACCTGAAGAAGAATGGATTTCTACCTCACTTTATGGACAAAGAAGCGTGCAAGCTTGTTATGAAACGAAAGAGGACGAGACTACGAGCGTCTGGGATCAAACGGCGATTGATTCGGAGTCCGGACGAGGGAGAAACGAAGCATTAAACAGAGGCTGAGCAAGCTGCACGGGCAGACCAGCGTGGCCACGCACGGCCGTGCAAGTGACCATTTTGGCCGTGCGGGATTGTGCGTGGGCACGCACGGGCACAAGTGAAATCCGCACGGCCGTGCAACATACAATTCTGGCCGTGCGAGTTGGCTGAGGTTCAACTAATTGATACGCCGCGTTTTGAGGTGCACGGCCAGAATGGTGATATGCACGGCCGTGCACCCTGGCCGTGCGAGTCGGGATTTCCTGGTTTTAAGCCAAATTCCGAACCAAAGTCGGGGGGATTCGAGTTTTTGGAGAGAGAGATCAGTTCCTAGAGAGAGAAAGTGACGAGCAAGAGTTCCCAAGTGCCCTAGATTGATCTTCAACACCATTGGAGGCCAGCTTGAGCTTGGAGAAGTGCCAATCAACGTCCAGAAGCAGGAATCCATCCTTTGCAGTATGAATTCCGTGTCTGATTCTGCTTTTGCTTTCTTCTCCATGGAGTAGTTCTCCCATTCATCTGGGTATGGAGAACTCTAGATTTGTATGTTAGGCTTTGATTGTATGAACCCAAGTACTGATTCTGTGATTGATTATATTCGATTGAGGTTTTGATGATTGAATGACTTGAATCCTGATCAAATTCCTGTTGTTTCTGCTTTAACCTAGAATGAGAATATCTGCCTAGGTTAATAGAGTATCCTTGATTGAAGGTAGGGAGTTGGTGACTTTAGTCGAGGAGCCAACTCACTATTCTGTACCGGATTTACTCCGGTAGTGGAGGTTTTGTTCTTAGGGCCTCAATCTGTCGACTCCGGTGGAGGTTAGTCGCCCGCTAGAGAGTCAGATTGAGAGGGTCTGAAGACCTTTAGTCGAGACTTCAGGCTGTTTAAGAACCTTCCGCAGTATAACTGTCATAGAAACTGAACTTGGTAATTACAATCCGGCTTAACTGCAGTCTAGGGGGAACCATATCCGGGTGACCTCTTTAACCTGAATACAACCAGTTTACTTGCTTTGTTTGTTTGGTAGTTTAGACTTGCACTTCAGTTTTATTGCTAGATAACAAGAACTCACTGAGTAGTCATCAAATCTAGGACCCGGGTTGATAATTAAACCTAAACCCGCTATACTACGCTTTAGGAAGTGGTTACACTTGGCCAATTCCTGGAGTGACAGTAGAGTCGAGTTATCATGTTTCGTCAGTCTCTTCAAAAAAATTAGGCAGTGGTCCAGACTCTTTCAGTATCGTTTTCACTTTTTGCTACAAGGTAGAACACACCATAAATACAGTAAAACAAACCAGACGTATTATAATGCAAACCACAAAAACCCTAAAACAAACCAGACGTATTATAATGCACAACACAAAAACCCTAAATCTAA